TCTGCCCCAGGCTGCCCCAAGAGCAGCTGGGGTGCTGATGGGTTGGTCTCGCTGCGCCAAGGGTCGGCGCTACTGCACCAATCCGGCAGCACCCCAGCTGCTCTGCTGCAGGCGTCTCCGATTCAGCCGCTGCTGAAACTGACCAGCAGCGGCTGAATCGGGGACTCCTGGGGCAGAGCCGGACTATCAGAAGGGAGGGCTATGAGGGGGTCTGGAGTAGCATCCCTCCACCCCACCCCAGACCCCTCATAGCCCCCCCTTCTGATAGTTCGGCATATCTGATAATCCGGCACCCGCTGGGTCCTAAAGGTGCCGTATTATTGGAAGTTTCCTGTATAACTGTTTAAACGGTTAACCGATAAGTCTGGAATTATTGGTTATCATTAAAGATTATACGCAGGCTCCCACCCTGCTCCTGGGAAGCTGGCTGCCACCCCACGCAGATGTCTCTGCATCAGAGCCAGCAGCACAGGGTGGCAGCCAGCTCCCCAAAAGAGGGGCCGGCAGGTGGGAGCCAGGTTAAAAGCCAGCTTCCCGGGCACATCAGCTCCTGGGGAACTGGTTATTACCCTGCACTGCAAGTACATTTAACTGCTGAGATTTTCAGTGGTTACACAATATTCCACTTTTTAACATCTCCACTTATTATCCCTGTATTTTACACTGGTGTGATTACTACAGGAGTCCTGTGCTAGTGTCCACATTTCAAGAAACACTGAAAAACTGGAGAAAGTTCACAGAAGAGCCACCAAGAGGAAAAGTCTGTAGGGACAATCTGCTTAGTTAGTCAAAGAGTAGATTAAGGATGACTTGACCAAAGCCTGCAAGTACCCAGGGAACAGAAGTCTGGTATTAGTGGGAAGGCTCTTCAATCTAACACACAAAGATATAACAGGATGCAGCAGTTGGAAGTTGAAGCTAGATCATTTGGACTAGAAATAATCTGCAAATATGTAACAGTCAGGGCAATTAGTGACCAAAACAATTTATCAAGGGTTACAATGGATTTTCCAACACTGGAAATTTTAAAATCAGGACTGGATGTTTTTCAAGAAGATCTGCTCTAGTTCTAATGGGAATTTATCCAGGGAAGTCCTATGGCTCGTCAGCCTGGCTAGATGAACACAGTGGTCCCTTCTGGCTATATAGTGGATGGAATATTTCCATCACTAACAACAATTTGAGGCCAATTACCCCCTGCTATTAGAAAAAGGTTATTGTGGTTGGGACATCTCACCTTTCATCTCTGCAGATTAAGTATTATGAGCTCTCCCCCATCTATTAAATGTGTTCCATCTACTTACAGGCTCCTGCATTCTAGCACACCTCCTGTATGTCAATGTAAGTGGCTTTTAGAATCACCAAAGCAGACCTTCCCCCCCCCCATTTAACCTGTTCAACAGGCAACAGAGCAAAAAGTCCTTCAGTCATTCACAGCAAACAAAACAGAGCTCTCAGGAGCAATCATTCTGAGATATGAACTGAGCCTGAAACAAAGTTATCTGATAATTGATCTGTGAATGGGCCTAGCATTTGAACATGACAGCTGTGAAGTTTCCTGTGCTAAATAGCAGAAGAGGAGGTATAAGGTCTATCCTGAGATGTTTTGCTGAATAGAGCATAGCCACTCTCATCATTAACTTTTTGTGAGGATGAGTTATCAGCTCAGAACCCAGGGTGCCAAAGGAGCCGCAGTAGAACAGGGTAATTAATTTAAAAAAGCACATCTCAT